ATGAAGAATGAAATCCTGAGTAATGAACATGTTATTTACCTTGAGCAGCCTACAACATTGTTACTCAGCGATGAAACCATTTTCTACAGTTCACTATTCTCATAACCAATGGTGCTTGACCTGATTAACAATTCCTCACAATCAGAGAAGATGTAGACAATGTTTTGCGTTGTTGCAAATTAGCTAGGCAGAACAATTACTATTGGTACTTGCCAACGTGGGGATCTGCTTCAAAACATAGACATTTTTCATAAGAGTGCCACTTAATGAGGGCAGGGGGCAACTACAAACATTTTCTCTACCGTGTTGCAGAAAAAATGTGATTAGTCCTCAGGAGTATCAACATCTTGAGATATTAAAAAGTAAGCATAAAAGGGTATCTTCAAATATTCTACCTAAGCTCAACCTCAAATGTATTAGGGCTACATTTAATTTTTATTTACAAAAATGTTGAAATGGAAAGGGATGCAACCTTGCATAACCTTTCTTATTTATCATTTCTGGGAACTATGCACCAATTGTTTAAATGGCTTCTTTTCATTTTTATTATTGAGACAATCTCTCATAATCAGGAATCATATAGTAAATACAATAACATCATGTCATCACATACACAGTAAGCAGATTGTGTCAAAATGATGACATATGAGGTGATGTTATAATGCAACCTCTGCTCTTATTACTATCATCCAGATTCATGATGCAAGTACATAAATCATGCTTTTAGCATCATGACCTTCTGATGCACATTTTGTCACTGGACCAACACCCCCCCCTCCACCCCCAAAGTTGATGCTCATACAGTCAATCAAATCTGTGCCTATGCCATGAATTAAATCAATATGCATACATTTATCTAAGCATGTCTTTGTATTTATTTATATTTATTCACAAATACACAGTAATGTTTATTGATAAATATGGTGGTTTTTATTGCTAAAAACATGGTGGGGGCCTCTTAATTAATTAGATGCTAAAATAAGAATATTGGAACAAAGGCATAAAACTAACCCAAACAGACAACTGATGAAAGAATTACAAGAAACTAAACAAAATTAAATTTATTAGAAATGGAAGAATTATAGAAGAAAATAAAATCTGTCCAACAGAAGGACTTTGAACATGCAAATAAACTAGGAAAATATTTAGCCTATCAACTTAGAAAAAAGAAACACAGACAAGATCCGCTATATAGAAAGGACCAAATTATTACATTCAAGATTGAAGAATAGAAGAATTGGCAGCTTTTTTAAGGAGTTACACTTTAAAGCTAATATTGATGAAGCTGCCATGAAGCTGCTGACTATTTAGTCAGTCATTAAAGAATTTCATGACCAACATAGACAAATATTAAGCACACCCAAAACTGTTCAAGATATTTAAAAGGCAATAAAACAAACTAAGTAAGGAGAAGCAACAAGTCCAGATGGGCTGATAGCTCAATATTACGAAGAACTTGAGAAGGAACCAAGGACAAATACATTGAATGAAATTAAAACAAAGGCAATACCATCAACATGGAAAGAGGCATACATAACCCCGATTTATAAAGAAGGGAATGACCCAGAGAAACCACAGTCATATAAACCAATATTTTGCTAAATATAGATGATACATTTTTTACAACAGAACTAGCTGACTGACTAAAGAGATGTGTCCCAGATATAATACATATTCACCAAACAGGCTGCATTCTGAAGAGGAACATTAAGGATAATAGCAAGTTTGTAATCAATATAATAGAATATATCAACAAAAAAAGGAAGAAAGCTGCACTAATTTTTCTGGATATGGAAAAAACCCTTTGACAACTTTCAGTGGCCATTTTTACTGGCAGTATTGAATAAAATGAACCCTGGAGAAGAGTTCAAAGCTTGGGTTGAAAGCATATACTGTATATTAACAGCAAACAACAAAGATTATGGTCAATGGAGCACTCTCCACAGACTTTCAAATAAGCAAAGGCACAAGGTAAAGATATCCACTTCCTTTCAAGTTATTCATCACCGCGTTAGAAATATTGTCAGGAAAGGTGGTAAAAAAAAAAAAAAAAACCAGGTCTTAAAATCCATGGAGAGGAATATAAGCTTAAAAATTATGCAGATGATGTTGTATTAACTATCACAGAAGCACAAAGGGCATTAAAACAGTTGATGAAAACAATTCACAGCTCTGGAGAATTCTCCAGATATAAAATCAATGTTCAAAAAACAAAAATAATTACAAGGTACTTAACACCAGGAGAAGTAAGTCTTTTGTGGGAAGAATCTGGCTGTCAGATAGCCCACTCAGTGAAATACCTTGGTTTGCATTTGACAGGTAATAATCCAGAAATATATCAAAATAACTATGCTAAATTAGGGCAAGAAATCAAAAGAGATCTCAAAAGGTGGAGAAATTTAAAGCCTCCCTGGTTAGGATCAATTGCAATTATCAGAATGAATGTATGACTCAAGATAAACTACTTGTTTCAAATGGCACCAATTCCAATTTCAGAGTAAGCCTTACAAGAATGGCATGAAATTGTCAGTAAATGTATATGGAGTAGGAAAAGATCTAGAGTTAAATTAAAAATTTTACAAGATTTGAAAGACAGAGGTGGCCTTACTCTCTCAAATTTTAAATTGTATTACAAAGCATGTTGCCTGTCATGATTAACAGAGTGGATAAAATTCCTGAATAGCAGAACATCAGTATTGGAAGGAGATGGTCCAGTCAATGGACTCCATAGGTATTTAGGGTACTGGTATAAAATGTTTTACAGATGGTACACAACTCCATCAATAATTTCCAAGATAAACAAATCATAGAGTAACAAATGTTAGAAATGCTATGAAATAGAAGGAACATTTTACCGCCTGTGGTGGACATGTAAAAGCCCTCAGAAGTATTGGAAAGACATTAATAGCACCATTCAAAGAATTTCATAAATTAAATTTGAAATGACATCACATTTTTTTTAACTAGGTATAATCCCAGAATACATTAACAAAACCCAACAGAATTTATTGAGATACATGCTCATGGCTGTGAGATAAACGTTGCCCAACATTGGAAGAAAGATACAACACCAATGATATATGACTGGGAACTTAAACTTGGAGAATATGCAGTGATGGCAAAACTAGCAGCATATATCCACAACAGAAGTTTAACCAAATTCAAGCAAGAATGTTTTCCATATGTACAAAACATCACACAGCAGAGCAAATACAAATATTTACAGCATGGTTTTTAAGGAGGTCTAAATGTCTATAAACACTGTAAATCGGTGGGAGTATAGAGTAGGGGGAAGATAAAGATTAAACATCTATCTACTTTTTCCAAGCAGCTCCTTTCTTTCTTTCTTTTCTTTATTTTAATATTCATAAATAGCAATAAATAATAATACAGTAGAAACTTTAATATTAGGTGTTTAGTATTAAGCTCAAAGATCTAAACTTTGTTCACATTATAAAATAATGTAATGCACTTTGCAACTTTTTATCAGTCATACTTAGCATTAAATGCACAACTTAAGCAACTTTATGTTCATTAATATTTTAGAAATCTTATTTAAATGTTTTTCTCATCTTTAAAAGTTTAATCTATCTTAATCATCACAGTGTTAACCGTTTCCAGTTTCTATTGTATAAATAGCACTGCAATCAATTATTATTGGTATTTTATAATGTATTATTCGAATTTATAATGCAATAAAATAATTGGGACAAATATGGTGACTGGGAAAAATATGGTTACAGATTAAAACATATAAACTATATAAGATATATAAGACATATAAACACTGTAAAATCTTGTATCAAAATGGAACTCTTGCTCATCGGTGAAAACACAGACAAAAAACATTCTGAATCTGACTGACCATCCTGACAACACAGTATAGCTATTAGATTTGGCCATGGGGTGATATCTTAGAGCAGGGGTGTCAAACTCAATTGCACAGGGGGCCAAAATCCAAAACACACTTTAGGTCGCGGGCTGAACAGGATAAACATTTATTGAACACACTAAAACTAAACTTTTAAAACTTTAAAACTTTTAAAACTTT